TAGATGAATTTCATTTATTCACTGTTCAACAAAGTTAACCTTAATTATGTTGTCTTGTTTTTTAAAAACTCACATTCTCAATCATTTTGCGTTATTTATGTATTTGTGGTTTGCTGAGACAGATCAGTTTTGGGGAGCTTTGAGGATCTGCCTTCCCAGATTTTGTCATGATAAAATATTACAACCAAATTCTTAATGCTAATTTTAGCACCTTTTATTTATTGGGTTTTTTTCGGACATAAAAAGTAAAGCCTTTTAATTGAATCATGCCACCTATATGCCTATATTATTAATCCTGTGTATAAACGAAAAATGTACAGCCTTCCTGGGTTTGTTTTGGGGTGTGGAGGACTGGGTGGTTTTATTTTCTGTTTCAATTTTTGTGCGTAGACTTTCATGCTAGCTCCAAGGCAGGGATGGCGGGTCTGGGGGATGGGGGCAGTTTTTGGAATGTAAATTTAGGATTTTTAAAAAAGGTGCGCACAGCTTCTGATAAATTTATAACTAGACTTGACCTAATCATGTCTCCATCCCAGTTCTCTTTTCTGTAGCCCTTCTCTCTGACTCTTCTCCACCCTTGTCCTACCCTGTCTGTTTCTCCGCTCCTTCAGCATACAAGCAGACAGACTTGAACACTCCTCGGGTGTTCGTCCGAGAACTGTGAAGTCCATGTTCATCCAAATGTACCAAAAAGAAGTCACCCTACATGTCAAAAACTGTTGCTTCTCCTCTGAAACTTCAGACTCCACCAGTTTCCTAATATAATAGCTTTGTCTTCTTTACTTTCTGTAACGGAAAATGTTTTGAAGGAAGTTTCACACTAGGCTTCTAGTTAGACCAGAAGTCGAGTCCAGTAGGGATTTTCTTTTTTTCAATTCGTTGTTGAGAAGTTTCAAAAGTCAGTTTTCAAGCTGTGGTCTTTTCAAACACATCTGCACATAACTCACATTTCAATAAAGCATTTTCAAGACTGTTGACCACTTGAATTTCTTTGGTGTTGTGAAATTAACCTATTCAGAGATTTTATATCTCTAATACAGTATTTTTTCTCTTTTTATGCTAAACATAAAGATACCGGTTTTGTGTGAATGCATAACTTTGAATGTGAGAACCATAATTGCCAATTATGTACTTTCCCTTTTTGCACAAATTCTGGGAAAATGTAAGATCCTCCTTTTTAAAACATGGTTTTAGGGAACAACTATAAGTCTTTTCAGGGCAGTTTAATTTAGATGATCGATTTCACACTTCAAAAGTAGTGGTTCCTAAGATTCCATCTCATGTAGAATACTGTATATTAATTATTTTTATCAGATATTTTACAAATACCTCACCTCATCCTGTATGTAATCAATAATGATGTATTATTTTAGGGTAGAAAGACACAGAATATCAATATAAAAATATATTTAAGCCCTTCAGATTCTTGCGTCCTTTCTTTAGTTTCTGAATCAACACCATAATGCCGAATGTATTTCCTGAATAAGTTGCAGAGACTTTGCAGGGAAGACCATATTGAAATATGTCATTATTTTGGCTACACCTTCCAATTTCTAAGGAACGGACCCTGAGTTTTGAGAGCTCCTCATTTTGATGAGTTTTGAGTGGCCAGGACAGAAGTTTGTAAATTTCATGCAGTTTACTTACTGTTTGGAAGTAATTCTTTCTGCTCAGGGTGTTCTAGAACGAGTTGTGAATTTTGTGATTCATGAAAACCAGGGATCAGAATACTGCAGGTCAGGGGCTTCAGAGCATGTTTTGCAGCAGTCTCCTGCTCTTGTGCAGTTTGTAGGAAGGAGTGTCAGCATAAGGCCCTATTATGAGCCTGAGAATCTGTGAAGGGAACTCATGAACAGTGACAGACAACAATGGAATTTTGAAATTTGACTGAAATTGTTGGCGTGTCTCGTTTTCTTAAATTTCTTCATTTGCTTTCCAAAAAATTTTCAATCTTGAAACAAATAGAAATGTCAGTGCTTTCCCTACCCCCTCCCCATGGCCACAATCAAAAGATAAATTTTTGCGCTGGCTATAGTTAAATCTTTGAATTTGTGTTTAGGTTGCATTATTTTGTTTTATGTTAATCCTAGACTTGTTACTAAACAAATAGGAGGGAGGTTCTGTTTGTTTGGTTTTGGATAGGGTCTCATATATAGCCCAGGTTAACTAACCTCCAACACTGTGCAGCTGAGGACCTTGAAGCCCTTCTGTCTGTACTTCCTGAGTGCTGGGATTCGAGACGCGCACCATAGAACAATGGATTCTTACTTCTAGACTTGGGTAAAATATAAGAAATTCTGCCCCCGTGGCCCTCAGTCGTTTAGGATAGCTTGTTCTTTACCAACCCTTTATTTTTTACTTCTCAGTATTTCAGAATAGTACTTCTCAGTCGTATACCAGTAGATTTTTAAAGGCCACTACACTTATTGTATCTTTTCTGATCTATGAGCCCCATTTTCAAACGAAAGATAAGAGTACCCCCAAGAATTCTCTGGGTGGGTCATAACTTTAGTTCCCAGGAGAAAGCCCTTGACAGTGAAGTCTACTTCCTGTTCCTTAGTGACTGTTGAGGTAGGCTCAGATGGCAAATCTGCCTTGTTTTCTGCTTAAGGCACTAAGTGGAGGTGTGACAGGGACTGCGATGGCAGAAAAGTGTAAGGAGAAAGGAATCTGGATTTTTAGGTGGTGGTGGAGATTCACCCCTAGGGGCCTTGTCCATGCCAGGCAAACAAAGTGGAGTCCTCTGAGTAGGATCCCAGCATCTAAAGGGGCTTGTGAACATGTGTTCTATAACAAGCTTGATTACTGTTACTACAGCCCTGCAGTTCAGGTGAGTATTATGAAGACACACCAAGTGTAAGGGAGGAGTAGGGAACAAATGTGTCCGCTTTGTAGGGGAAATGCCATAGCAATGTATGCTACACAGAGCCTACTGTGCTTGTAAGTTATTTGTATCCAATTTGGGGGAGACACACAACTGGCTTCATGGATAACAAAGAATAAGACACTAGGAAAATTTCCTAGAATCAGCAAATGATTGGTTGGTTGGAGACAGTTTCACTCTGGCCTAGGATGGCCTCCAACGTGTAACAACCCTCTTGCCTTAGCCTCCTAAATGCTAGAATTAAGCATGAGCCACCACATAGACCCATCTTGGTTTAATTTGGGTTTTGGTATTTTTGTTTTTTCCAGAAAAGCTCTGGTAGATCAGGCTGGCTTCTCAACGCTGCCTTAGCTAGCCCATTGCTGGAATTCCAGCCTGCACTACCATACCCACCTTGCAGAAATAGTTAATGCTAGAGGATGGCGGTGGTCATGCTTGTTATTCATAGTTCAATTGCATGCTTTAAAACAGTTCTCTCTCTAAGATGAGGCAGGAGAAGAGGGGTTTGTAAACCAGCTCAGTAGTAATGGAGCCTGTGTCCAGTTTGGGAGTGGGGAGATGTTCAGGGTAGAATGCAAGAGTGCAGCAGCACTTGCAAGACTTTGAAGTTACTTGAGACTGTGTGAAGCTTGTGTTCAGCACTGCCCCTAAACGTGTCATCTCTGGTCCAAAACCTGATTCCAGTCTTCCCCAACCCCTGGAATTCTGTAAAAATCGTTTCCATATGCCCATGGGCTTTTGTTGTGACAACTGTGCCTTTCTGATTCCTTTCTTTTGGAACTGATTCCTGTCCTAAAGCCCATCCCTGTCAAGCAGTGACCTATGAGCTTGGGAGTTCTTTTTTTTTTTTTTTTTTTTTTTTTTTTTTTTTTTTAAAAAAAAAAAAAAAAAAGAGGACGAGCCCCACAGCTGGCCTGGAACTCAGAGATCCACCTGCTACTGCTCCCGAGTGCTGGGATTAAAGGAGTCTACCACCATGCCCAGCTGGAGTTACTTTAAGTGATGCTAGGACTAGGGTGTATATATAGGTCACTAGTAAACTGCTTAGTATGTGGGAAAACTTTGGTTCTACCCCAACACCATTAACAAAAAAGATATATTTGTTACCACTTCCTCAACTTGGTCATCAAATTTCATGATCTAGCTGGATGTGGTGACACGCCTTTAATCCCAGCATTCAAGAGGCAGAGATGGGTAGATCTCTGAATTTGAGATAAGCCTGGTCTACATATTTCCAGGGCTACATATTGAGACTCTGTCTTTAAAAAAAAAAAAGTGTGTCTCATAGAACAGTCTCTGAACCCCTAGAGTATAGCCCCTTTTAGGCAAGTGGGTAGCAGTTTGGTTGGTTTCCTTGACTTAGAAAGGTGAGGGTCATCTCAAGATCCTTAGATTTTTACAAAGTTTGTAGAACTTTCCAACAAGTAGACAATATTTGGTTGAAAGGGCACCTTGAATCCAATTTTGTGTCCCAGTGACTCTTGGCTTTGCAAGTGACACACAGACATTGGTGAGTGTTATAGGAGACCAATTGGAAAATCTGCTGGGCCACGTATACACAGACACAGGCTGCTTCCTGCAGTCCTACCTAGATGGTGATTTTTCTCAGAAGAATCATTCTGGCTGGGCAGGGTGACACACACCTTTAATCCTGGCACTCAGAAGGCAGAGGCAGGTGGATCTCGAGTTCAAGGCCAATTTGGTCTACATAGCGAGTTCCAGGACTGCTTAGTGAGGCCCTGTCTCAAAAATAGAGACCTTCTGGTCACCAGAAACCTAGTCTCCAACTTCAGCAAGCTGCAGCCATGGCTCTGTATACATAAGCCGCCATCACCTGCCTGTTCTTTGACCTCACTGTCAGTGACAGTGGGGTGTGAGCTAGAGACACAGTTCTACTTGGGACCTGCAAAAGCCTGAATTCTTTCAGAGACTTCCATTGGGAGAAACTGGGATTCTTGACTTCACCACAGAAAAGAATTTCCAGATAAACCAGTGTGATGGTGTTTATTAGGAAGAGTTTAACAGGTTTAGGCATGGGGGTTAATACGTACTAAGGGAAAGAATAGGATACAGACAATTGTAGGTGTGAGTTTCTCAAAGGATCCAGGATTTGTCATGCTTCCATGTCTAAGCAATAGCCTTATATGTGATTTTGATAGCTTTTAAGTTACATCTCAAATGGTTGCTAAGAAATCGTTGCCTTTTTCTCTTTTTTTTTTTTTTTTTTTTTGTAAATGAGATTATGGCTCTAGAGATGCCTGTCTTTGAAAGGATTACAATCTGATAAGATAAAGCCATGGGTCACAAAACAGGGTTAAGACATCTTTTTATTGTAAATGGAGTTTCTTGTGATATTCTTAGAAAATTACAGGTTTGTAGCAGGGAGAGGAAGGCCATGCTCTTCATATCCACTTAGGCCTTACACATGGCTCATAGGTATTTTAACATGCTTGTTTGTAACATAACATTGTCTCTATATGGGCAACCTTCACAGCAAATGTTAGCTCTACTGGAATTCTTTACTGGCTGGTGAGAGGCTCCAGAGTGGGACTCCTTTTCCCTCCCGTGACCCTTCATTTTCTCTTTCTATCCCTGATCCCTGCCTCAAGTCACAGTTTTTTGTTGTTGGGTGGTCGGGGTTTTTTTGGGGGGGTACTTTTTGCTTTGTTTTTTGAGACGGTCTCACCGTGTATATAGATGTATTTTTTTAATTATTTAATAACCACATGATTAGAAGAAGCATTTCATTACAGCTTTAACATATTCAATAACAATTTCCAGAGCAAAGATACATCTCTTTCAAAAGTGGCTGTAAA